ATGCGTTATTATTATTACACTCCTAACGCAATTTGAGTCACTCACTCAGGTTTCAAAACGATGCATAATGAATTTCTATTGTTCAGACGTTCTGTTCCTTAAAACTCAAATACAAGTTTTCCATTTTCCGTTTGTCTGTTGCATTAGCCCTCTTTTACTCTCCAGCCGTATTTTAAACTACTCACTCGGTGAGGAAAACATTGGTCAGATGTCAGAGGATTTGGTTGATGTCCAACATCCCGGGGTATCCAATCGATGACAATCGATATTAATCAATACCAATCGATATCAATTAATCGATTGATATGGAAAATCGATGACCAATCGATGGCGAAGATTCGCGTGGTTATCGATTGGTATCGATTTTCAATAACGATCGATAGATAAATTGATATCGATTGGTACTGATTGGTTGCAATAATAGCCTTTGGCGATGCACCTTATATTCAGTAAAGCTCTTCCCGGAGTTCTTGCGTGGACAAAATGACACGTAAAGACAATGACGGGCAAGTGGGTAATTCGAGTACACGTGCAACGAGGCATATTCTTTGCGTTGAGAAGAACTGGGTCGGAATTGTATTACAAATGTCGTCCCCAGGGCTTCCTAAAAATGGCGGATGTTTGGACAGGTAGCGTGCTTGACGTCTGTTCGAGGTAGCTGTGCCAATCGATAGCAATCGCTGAACCGTTTTGTGTGGTGTGGGTAGTTATCGATTGATCATCGATTGACCTATAGCAATCGATACCAATTAACTAATTTTATCGATTGACAACGATTGATCGATTGGTTTTCCGATCATCGATTTCTATGGATTGGATACCCCGGGCTAATATATCAGGAAGCGAAGGAGAGAAGTAAGGATCGCGTGACGGTCTCTCATCCATGCCTAAAATACTATTTTCCAAGTTAAAAAAGAAGATATTTGAGAGTGCTAGGGTAACCGTCTTTGCACTAGGGGTTACTAAACAGGGCATAACATAATGTAAGTATTAGTTTAGATTCGACACGTCAGAATTTCTGTAGAACGAGCGCCAGAAATGCGGCAGCCGATTTCCGTCGAATTTACTGTGAATGTCAAAAAGCCGTGAACAATTTGACTTGATTTTGACATGTCGATTGTGTAGCCACCAATCAGATGCGAGATAAAAACAGACTAAATTAACGGTCTCACTCGATCAGTCACGAAACTTCCCTTCGATCGCTTCGCCTCCCTAAAATCATCGTTACCCTTAAATTTTCACATAACGAAACTTTGTAACCACTTTCCAGAACCAGACATTTTTTTTCGACTGGAACTCTTTATAAATAAACCTCGCCCGGAGACCGCGACATCAAAACGGCGCGAAAAATCGAGAGCCTGAATTTACTAATATTTCAGACGTACAGTTATTTTTAGAGTTGCTCTTTTGATTAGAGGAGCGGACACGGAAGAATGCTGCTGCGCTTTTGTATTTCATCAAGTAGAGTGGAATTCATAAGATGAGCAAAATTATCATACACGACTGCGTTATGAAAGGATATCGTATCTTAATGGTGCTGATCTTGGCTTAAAATTTTGCGAAGGCGTTAGAAAATGCGTAGGCGCTTTCCAAATTTCAGTCTCTCCCTGCTGCATTTCCGCCAGATCCTTGAAGGTTTTTTCTTCCCCCTGGTACTCTCACTGGAGGCTTCTTTTTTAACCAAACCTATCGGCTTATTTACTAAAACCCATAATTCATGCACATATTAAATACGGTAATTGCATATTGTTTTCAAAAATAGAATATTCTGCTCTTTATTTCTTTTGCTTCTACCCTTTTTTCCCAAATCTTCTCACTTTCCATAGAAATTGATCTTTTAGTTTAGAGTTATCAGGGTTCGTTTTTATTGTTATCGCCAAATGTAGCAACGGATGAAGTTGATTTTGTAATCTCGCATTTGTTTGGTGGCTACACAATGGACATGTCAAAATCAAATAAAGGTGTTCACGCCTTTCTGACTTACACAATAATTCGTTTCACTGAGTTCAGTCGAAACGGCAGAAATGCGTCGTATGAACCGAGCTTTAGAAATTAGAACTTCTGGCTTTCTAAGGTGGCGTTAATCGTTTGTGAACATAAGAAAGATAATAAGATATTGTATATGAGGACCTCTATCATAGAACTAGCGTGTTTTGTGTGAGGGTATAAATACAGCAATAGTTGAGCTGAGGTCAACTGAAGTCAAAATTTCAAATTCTAGAACATTCAATGTTTAGTTTACGTTTCTCTCTCCTTGTACCCTTCGAGACAGAGATTCCTTTCTCCTTCTGCTCGGTGAGAAACTCTGCTGGTAACCGCGTGATATCGTGCATCTCACAGAGCAGAAATGGAAAGGAATGTCTGTCTCGCAAGATACTCAGCAACTAGAGTGAAAAGCCTTTCACTACTGCATGACAAATTTACAACTTCTCTGAACTTCCCTACTTCTTCACATTCTCATTCACTGTAGTCTGGTCCCAGACGTTTTAGAATCGTTGCCCCTATCGACTTTGAAGATAGCTCGTTTAACTTTAAAAAAGGAATCCGGTGAGCTTTGAAGCGGCAAGAGAACGTTCACCACGATTCTACTATGACTACTTCGTTAATCGATTTTCTTTGCGTCCAAAACGAAAAAATAATCCAGGATCAAAAACCCTCTGAGAAGACTGGATTTGATTTTCCAGTCTTATGCCTTCACTCAGTCTTGTCTCCCTCTTTTCCCGCCATAAGTGAACTGCACTTTCGATTCAAATATTTACGATAACCGTGTGCAAACAGACGCTCTATTAACTGATCATTTACGAAATAAATTAATTATTCGTGTAGCCTAGGTCAAAAAAGAGTTTGACGATGAGTTGCATACCAATTCCGTTTAGTTTGTCTTGCATTCATGCAACAGAGAACAGTAATGTACGCCATACTCACTGTTTGGAAAGATTCAGGAGCAATTTAGCAAATCAGTAACAACGCCACAGGGGGAGTCAGTCTGCAATCAACAAGGAAATCTGAACTCGAAAGTGAAAGCTTAATCATTCCCACACAGCTGGTGCTAATCACATGACGATGAGTCTGTTTTGAAATCATTATTGATGAGCGTTGACCCGTTAACCAACGGTCTGAAAAGCTTGCAGGTGTGTGATTTAATTTCCAACACGCTTCGGAAGTGGTATCTTACTGTAGAGGCTTGTGTGACTCACAAGCAAAACGGAACAAGACTGTTCAAGACCGAAGCCAGTTGTAAATGTTACAGAGCTGAGTATCAATTCTAGATTTAAATAGTATATACGTTTTTTGCTTAACCTTTTCTCGCCATCGAGTCCCATAAACGAAACTGCAGCTAAAGGTTCGCGAAGCAAATGCTTGCGTGACTTAGTTTGCATGATGTCAAAAAGTGAAAATATACGTCACGCGAATCACCTGCATGCCTTCAAACGATCAAAACTCCTTCTGGCCTGCCTCATGTCACTTGTTTTAGGGCGGGGAAAAATCCACTGTTAAACCAAACAAGTGTAAAATGCAAATGTAACGCTACTTCCGGTTATTTAGGAATACAATTCGATCCGTCTCGATGTAGCCCGTTCTGACCCTTATTGACAATGAATTCTTGTGATTTATACCTGTTTGCTTTTTCTTGATATGATAGTTTTAATTGGGTCGTTGTGATCTCTTGAGTTTTCTGATTTCAGGGTTCCATTTAGTTTTTTTGAGACTTCAGTATTTACGACCCTTTATTAAAACTGATTGTCACACACGTTAGAATTCCATCTTCGTGTGATTCGTTCACTTGCTCCCATTAACGCAAGTACGCTAGTAGCGTGACGCTCATACAAAACCCTATGCTTTAAGTAAAATGTAAAGTAAAGAAAACGCAAGCGTTACACTTCCGGTATGATTACACATTAATTCTATCTGGCCTGATGGCCTGATCTGACCAATGTTGATATTGATGATTAACAACAACTTTATGTGATTTATACCTGTTTGTTTATGCGCAGAAAATACGCATTAGTTGTTAGTTTTTAATTCGCTCATTGCGATCTTTAGATTTGTCTGCGTGACTAATAAAACTCGTCACTTCAACGTTTTAGCCTGTCATTTGTTGTCAAAATTGATTAAATCGGGAGCGAGTTGTGTGAACCGTGGGCTCGGACACTAACAGTAAAAACAGCCTGTCACAAATGCTCGAGTCTCCAAGGTCTGCACACCAATCCCCGTAAAAAAAAAAGGAAAAAATGGAGTGTCTTGNGATTATCATTTCTTTAAATAACTGAACAAGAACTACAGTGCACATAACTCAACTGACCCCCACAGTGAATAGGATTATTCTGTACGGGTTATGCGATTTGATTCTTCTAGTCCGGCAAATCAAGAAATTAAACAAAAAAAAAAAAAAAAAAACAAGAAAGAAATAGTGTCTTCAATCTGTACAGCGTGGTTGCCAAAATGAATAGCACAAACCGCCGTCAATTCAACTTTTTATGCCGGTCTTTCGTAGACAAAATTGATTAACCCCGAGTTTCCAGAGCCACCCTGCACAGGATATCTTACATTAGGAACGCAAATAATGGTTAGACAGAAATTTTTTACACAGAAACGCGAATATAATTCTTACAGAGGAATGTAGGGAAGGCCCACATATACCTCGTGTTTACTCACGTGGACACGAGGGGAAAATGGCGTTTGAAAGCCAGAATCAAATAATTCTTTAGAGTAGCCATAAACTTGCGGTCAAAATATTCCTAACAGGAACGGGTTTTTATTACTTAAACAGAATACATAATTGGGCAGTTAAGGAAATTTTCTCTGACTTTTCAGCCCAGAATCTAAGGTGATTAACATCTGTGGCCGCGATTTTTCCAGGAAAAACATGACTTAGCCCTCGTAAGATGGGTTCCGCCCCCTTTAACTAGAGGCTAGAATTAGCAATTATGCGCATAGATGTACAATTACACACTCACAGAAAAGCTGCTACAAAAGCATGAAATATGACGATGAGAAGATCAGTCCAGCAACTGCGCAGTTGAGCCGGTGTGGGGAGATCCCAAAGTCTTAAGTTCAAAACATGCCTCAAAATTATCTACCGCAGAATTTTGTCTACCACTCGTGGTAGAGGTACATTGCACAGAGTCACTCTGACGAGCGAAAAGAACCAGACGTCCCAGCTTGGACAAAATATCTTCAAATCCTTGGCGGAAATTTTCGCTAAACATCGCGTACAACCAGGGAGTGAGCGCGGCGTTGAAGTGAGCCAGCAGCAACCTCAAGTACAGAACATCACAGGGAACGTGCAGGCCATTTTTACGCAACACCATCAAGACGAAATACAGCGACCAGCATAATAGAAACGCTAATACTACAACAAGAACCATTCTCATCACGCGACGGTTAGTTTCTTCCCTTTGTCTGTTACAAGCTTCTGAAAGCGAGTATCCTGGGACTCTCCTTTTGAGCATCGTAACAACAATCGCAGAGTTTAAAAGCACAGTGACTAAGAAGGGTATCGCATATAAAGCTATGAATACAAACTTGAAGTAGATCTGCCCTGAGCCTGCACCAAAAGTTACATCGAAGTCGACAATGCAATACGTTTTCCCTTGGAATTCATCCAAGCTTGACGCAAAAAGAGTCGGGATTTTCACACTTATCGCGATCAGCCACGCGGCGGAGATAACGAACGCTCGTAACGGGGACGTTACGGCCAGAAAACGTTCCACGCTTATCGCAACGATCGTTAGGACGGAAACGATGACCGTTATTTCAATGAGAGATGATACCATATGGCAAAATATCAAGCCCAGTAAACCATGAACGAGCCACTTGTATCCAAGAGATAGGATGGTGACAATCCGGGGAATGTAAACCAAAGTGAAGATTAAATCGCTCAACGCCATGTTGGCAATGAAGAAGTTGATGGTTTTTCTCATTGTTTTCTTTCTCCAGACAACCGCCAGCACCAGAGGGTTACCTGTTATCGCGAAAAACGCGATCGGTGCAAACGGAGCGACGCGCAAAACGCGAACTAAATCCGTGTCATGAAGGAAGCAAGGAGCTTCATACACCACGGACTCATTTGAGGTAGAGTTTGAAGACGCCATTTTTTAGAAAACCGAGAAAGAAACTGGCTGAAACAGCAGGTGTAGTTAGCTGTTCGGTTTTCTAATAGCCCCGATTGTCTTTAAAATGTCACGTTATTTGCGAATCTTGTCTGCTTTATGCGAAAAGCAAACTTCTTGATATTTACATTGACACTAAGGCGACATACTTAGATGATATGAAATAAAAACTCCGCTTAACAGACAAAACAAAGTGTAATCTTGGTTCAAAAACACACAAGGTCAAAATAAAATTATTTATATTTATAATTTTAGCGAACCTCAAGAAACAAATGCTTTGAAAAATGACTTGGAAAAATATCACTTTGGATAGCGTTTGTCTCATGGTAGTCGCATGTATAAGTTCAATATATCTCAGGAGTCGTTTTGGTTCTTATACTGATTTGCTTGAAACAAACTTATCCCTGCGTATTGGCGACAGCCATTAGTGTTATCATGTAAAACAATATCCTGTAAAGAACAACACAGCTGCTTAAGCATCGGGGTTTTTTAAATGTGTGGAAAATTTGGAAAACCAGTCTTTACTCTTTAAGCCTTGACCTCCCTCATATGGGCCATACAGGGAAGTGTGGCGCTAATGGGTATGGTGTTTGACCATTTTGTTCTGAAAAAAGACATGTTTTTCACTCTGACTTGACAATGGGTATTTTGTTTACAATGAAAGTTTTTTTCCGCATCAACATTGGCGAATTGGTAGCTCCTCTCAAATTTTTACCGGAATGGAAACTATTTCTGGTTAGTTGCGGTCGTATGTTAGAGCTGTGTACTAATTTTAGAGGGCTGAAATGGGGTATTAATTTTTGGTTCAGGTCTGAAAGAGGGTATGGGAAATCACAGATTTTGGTCTGAAATAGGGTTCATGTTTCAAGGATAATTCGTGCCGCACACTTCACCAATAACCTTGGTGAGTACCCCCCGACCCCGACTGAATGCACTGAATAATCTTTGAATAGGCTGTAATGCAAGACAGCGGTATGATTTAGTAGGAAGTACGCTTTACCACAATCTGGATGAAAAACAACAACACCAATAACAACAAACTAAATTTAATTAATCCTCTGTTTGCAAAATCGGTATATATTGCACTAGTCCAGTCTCTGAACTCTCCTTTCTACCCGCCCCATATAGGGCTGAACCCGGGCGGGACTCTCTTTTCGCCCGCCCGGCCGGGTTCAGCACCTATATGGGGCGACAAGAAATGAGAGTCCAGGGACTGAACTAATTAATATTGCACTTGCTTTGAGAAGTAACTCTGCACATCGGATCAAGCACTCAGGATTGTCTCTTCAGCATATAACGATACCAAGCGGGTTGAGAGAGTCAATACGATTCGTATAACATGAGGTTTTTGACAAAATTTGAGCTGTTGAACATCTTTTTGATCGGACATCTTTTAAAGCAAGTCATGAAAATGCTTAAAACCGATATTTAAGAGCCGGAGACGGCAAGACAAAAACATTAAGAAACACGCGAAATTGCATACGTATATTGAATTATTTACTTCTAATATTTAAAGGGAGATCATTTTTCATTTTGCCACTCGTCCAACTTTTCGACACCTTTTTAACAAGCTCATACTGGAATCAATTCAGTTAAAACTTTACGATGTGTGAATTGAGTTTTCGCCTCTAGTCGATGTTGCCTTAACCCCCGAAACGTCACGAGTTACGCAGTATAATGTTTATTACAAGCTTTAGACACATTGTCAAGGTGGCGAGCCGATGGCAGGGATGGCGCAGTGGTGAGAGCGCTCGCCTCTCTCTTATGTGGCCCGGGCTCGATTCCAGCCCGCTGTCCCATGTGGGCTGAGTTTGTTGTTGGTTCTTGCCTTGCTCCGAGGGTTTTTCTCCGGAGTTTTCCGGTTCTCCTCCCTCCACAAAAACCAACATCTCCAAATTCTAATTCGACCAGGATAGAGGACCCAGCAAAGGTGGACATGGCTTAATGTAATATATACTGGAATCGATCTTTTTGCTTTTTACGTTTTTATAGCAAAACAGAGAAAATATCTCGGCCTATGTCCAGCCATCTTGGCCTCAAGCTTTGATTATTTAACGGCAAATGTTTACATGCATACCAGGTAGTGCAGGTAACTGAAATTACAGGTAAATAAGGTGGCGGTCTGGCCAGGTAACATTATTCACTGCGTTATTGTCGCTGTTTTGGAGTCCTCACAACACAATACGGTGGGTAACGTTATATGTTTTAAATAGTCTTAAAGTAAATTTAATTTACTTAGAATAACCAAAAGTATATTGAAGATTATTCAAAGGAATCAGATGTCTTTTGTTAATGCTCTTAACTTGTGAGAGTTGAATCACAGTTGAAGACTAATGATTTTCGTAAGTTTGAAGAGAATTCCCTGAAGATGAGTGACGAAATTATTGTTCATTCTCTAGTATGATTCAAATTTGGTCAAAACAGTACAGAGATCACCATAAAACATGTGTACATTGCCATTGTAATATTTACTAATGCCACTTTTCAGTTACGTTTTCCTAATTGACATAAATGACTAAATTACAGAAATCAAAATAAACCCTGTAAATACCGATTTTTTCATGTCTTTTAATTTAGCTCACAAGAAGGTCTGCAAAAAAGAACCAGACCAGCTTCCACTCTTTATCGTAGAACTGTGTAAAAAAGCCTCGATAACTAACTTGTCATCAAAGTTGTAATAACAAACTGATGTAGAAGAGAACACCAGGATGAATATGGCAAATAGAAAGCG